GGGGGGGTAACTGTACTGGGGTCGGCGACCCATCCCTGTAACGGGGGAGCCCTCTGTGAGGCCCTGCGGGGCCCGGCTGCCCAGAGCAACGCCTGCCCTGGCCCTGCCCTGCACACACTGCTGGTAGCGAGCAACAGGGTGGCTGGCTGGCGGGGTGCAGGCGCCGGGCTGGCGGGCGCCTGCTGGCCCGGCGCGGGGCGCGGCGGGGGAGGCTGCCGCCGCCATAGGCGCGAGCATATAAGAACCCCGCCGCCCCTCCCCTCCCCTACCGCCCCGGCGCGTCTGGCCGGCCCCTCCCGGCCTCGGCGCCCCCTCCTCTTGCATCTGTTTACAGTCCGTTTATCCCTCATACACTGCCCTCGCCCCCCCCCCTCCCACGCCGCTCTCGCTTTCTGGAAAACAACAACAGTTTTGGGAGGGGAATGTTTCATGCGAGAGATGATGCATAACGGGTACTTGTGTCTCGGCAGCAGCAGCGGCAGAGCGGCCCGCACTGAGCTGGAGGAAGAACATCCCTCTCTCCCGCTACCCTGCGCACACCCTCGCTCTCTTTCTGACTCGCCCGCCTCGCACACTCTCCCCCCTCTCTCTCTCTCGCTCTTTCCCTCACGCTCAGACAGGCGCCGCGCAGAGGAGTAGTTTGTCCGCTCGGATAAATAGGAGCCGAACGCAGTGGCGCTGAACACAGATGGCGCACGTGCGGATCGCGATGCTCGTGCTGCGAGTGCCGCTCGTGCTGCTGGTTAGTAAAGTAATCGCGAATGGCTCGAATGGCTCGCGCCTGGCCGGGGAGGCCGAGGCATCCGATTGGCGCCGTCCGGACCAAACAACGGCTGCTCGCGTTGTATGTAATTTTTTTTCCCTACGCGGGAGCTACAGACCTCCTCCCCCCCTCCCCCTTTCCCGCAGCCACAGCAGCTGCTGCAGGAGAGCATTAAGGGTGTCTGCTCGCCGTGGCCGTGCCGGCGCCGTGCTAAATGAGCGCTCGGAACAACTCGCCTCTCTCTCGCCTCCTCTGCTGCCCGGCGCAGCTCGCGCAGCTCGGACGATTCTTTTCGATGCGGCAAAAAGAGTCCGTGAACCGCTGCTGCGGCCGCGCGAGGCTGCAAGAGAGAGGCGCGAGCGGCGCCGGGGAAGACACTGGTAGAAGCAGAACCTGTATAATCTTTTGCAAACTTTTACAGGGCGAGCACTTTACCAAACCTTTCCACCCAAAAAGTCGAAACTGCTCGAAAATTTCACACCATTATGGTGAGGAGAGAGATATATACCAGGTTCTCCTTGCGCACATGGGCGTTGCTCTGCATGGCGATCAGTAGCAACCCCACGAGGCTATCGCTTTGGCTTTGAGCAGGCGGCTGCTGAGCCCAGCCGAGCCGTTGTAGAGAGAGGTGGGGGAGGCACAGGGAGCAGCTCGAGCGCTCTGAGCAGGACATTCCGAGTCCAGAGAGGCATTCGCGCAGACGGCCCGGGTGATGGCGCGCCCACACCGCCGCCCGCCGCCCCGCGTCACAGACACAAAGAGGCGCACCCATGTTCAAAAGCCGACGTGACCTTTTCCGAGAGGGAGTGCTAGGCGACTGTATATTTTTTCGTGGAACTACACGGTTCGGCCGAGACCGGGATCAAAGTAAACTGAACGCGGAGACAGATTTCGGGGCACACAAATATTCCGAGAGGTGTGTACACTCTTTTCAAAGCCCGTTCCGCTAAAATGTGTGTTCGACTGTAGCGCGCGCAGCCTTGTCGCTACTACGATGAGGATCTGCAAGCGACGTGCCCCGAAAATATATCACCCCCGCGAAGAAAACCATAAGATAGATTGATAGAAGGACCGGATTGGATTGGAGCGGGATAATGCCTTTCCGGTCACTCGCTCGCGCTTATTTTAACTCCGCTAATCACTTTATGGAGAAGGAGCCGGGGGAGCGTCGGCAGCGGCGGCCGCCTTGAGGGACGGAGCCATAGCACCGCCTCCTCCGTCCGCGGGATGAGTCGTAAAGAGTGTGGCATGGCGTGGCGGGGCGTGGCGTGGCGTGGTGGAGTAATCAACCGAAACCCCGTGAAAGGTAGTTCCGAGTCCCGGTATACACGATACTGCTGTGCGGTGTGGAGCGAGTGACTGGAGAGTATCGCTATCGTCGGAGCGCGAGCGCGGCCCAAGCCCAAAGCCGAGGGGGGGCTTTTCGCGCGCATTTTCCGCTTTCGTCCAAAGGCGCGATTGCACAACCCGAGCGAGATATTTTACGCGCAGTTATAATCTTATTCACGCTTCATCTAGCAGTAGGTGTACAATAACGCCGCCATTACGCATTTAATCCTTTTTTACGCTCGCCATATATTTTTCGTGTTTTAGTTACGGGTAAAATTTTCGCTGAGCGAAGCTCAGTCCAAGTCGCTGAGGGGTCAGGCGATGTCTCCGTCGTGAGTCTGTCTGTCTGTCTGTCTGTCCGTGTCTGCGTTCCTCTTTTCCTGGAAAACGGCTGCACCGATGACAAAATAGAAGTTTGCTTTAACATCGATAATTTAAGGGAGACTCAGTGTCCCCTTTTCGTTCGCTGCGGACTAATTTGAAATATATGGTCCTTTTTTCCCCAGAGGGAGCTTCAGATGTTGTTGTTTCGGTGGTGGCTACACTGAGTGAAAAAAAGCGCGAACACGCAAATGGCTCCTTGCACCCACTTCGCGACTTTCTGATTCTCTCACACGTGTTCATGATGTCATACTGTCGAACCGAGGGTGAAATTTTTAGTTTTTGAGTTGCGGAACTCGACTTTCCAAGTTTCGCCGGCGACCGATGAAAAGGAACGAAAGTGATATTTTGAATGGTTTACGTATTTACTTACGTAAGTTGGAGGGGAGGAGGGGGTTCGGGGTTCGGGAGAAATGTGCAAAGGTAACTATTGTTTCGGGGTCATCTTGACAAAAGAAAACGAAAATGTTTTATGCTCCAAGACGATCGGAATCGAAATGGCAGAGTTATTGCCCCCCAAATTGACAATTTGGTCGTTTTTGCACACATTTACCCCTTTGAGGGCTAATAACTTTGCCATTTCGACTCTGATCGACCTTGAGCATAAGACATTTCCGTTTTGATTTCGGTAAAGGAATCCAAATCTTGTATTTTACTTTTAATTTTGTAACTTCCAAAAAATCCTAATTTTCAATTTTTATATTTTAACGAAATGTAATGGTCTTTACTTGTAGAATGATTGGAAGTCACCTAAACATTCAATAGGACATGAAAAAATGATTATTAAACACATAACCTATTTTCACAATAGCCATGAACTTGCAATGGACCGAACCACATTATAGCCAATATCGCAAACTCAGGTAAGATAGGCCCATCGAAATCAGAACAAGGTACATCATTTCCTTAAATTTACTAGCTTTGTCTGGAGTCTCATTATGTTAAATGATATCCAATAAAAAGGTGGGAGCATTAAAATTAAACTGTACAATACGATACATTATCTATAGAACTTTTAATTCAATTTACTTCAGTGACTCGTGATCCTTCAAATGCCTCGGAGAGATCTGATAAAAATGAATGAAAGAGTGACAAGTTATACTTGTCGTAGAAGAGAAGTTCAAATGTATTTTGAAATGAAATGAAATATTAGGGTAGTTAATTTCACTTCAACCAGAGTCAATCTAGTAGAATTTCACCTTCACAAATAAATGGAATTGAATGAAATGGGAGCATCATGCATCATATGGCATTACAGAAAAAGGTAAATTAAGAAGGGGGAGGGCAGTGGGGATAGGAAG